GCTATGCACGCATAGACCTGACTGATTGGCTGAAGGTCACCCCAGTTCGCACCCTTGAGGATCTTCTCCTTGACCGGTATCAGGATAAACATGCTGCACTCAAGGCTAGACTGAAGCTTGAGGCCCTCAAGGGCCAAACATGGAGGTCATCCATGCAGGCTTTGGAACAGCACCTGAATGGTCTATTCACCACTCCGGATCTAGGAATGACTGACGTGTCTTGCAGGGATGTCGTCATGGGAGTGGCCCCTAAAGAATACCTCTCCCTGCTAGCACTCAAGGACCATGCTACCTGGCGAGATCTCATGAAGGACCTAGTCGACCTAGAGGCCAAGGACCTCGCCAGGCGCAAGAAGGCGCCCGCTGCAGGTGGGAAACCACAACGCAAGCGGTTTGGAGGCAGCAACCAGCTTGCACTGCATGATCATCGGGAGGCTGACGATCAGTCCTATGCGGATGATCTGCCTCTAGATGACGATCTAGAGCCAGACTCCGATACGCGCTGTTCCACATCAGCCATTGAGTGTGACCGAAATGATGATGAAAAACTTAATGCATTTAGAAAGACTGCTTCAAATAAGGGGCCTAACCGTGGTTCGGGTAAGGGAACTGTCTTACACCTTCCCAAAAATGCTAAGATCCCTGAGAAACCGGAGGACATTTCTACCAAGCCTTGGGAAGCCCTCCGCATCAGCCGAAAAGAATGGGAAAGAAGGTCCAAACTGCGCGTATGCTTGCATTGTTCAAAGCCTGGGCATGCTGTGCAGGATTGCTATCGTCTTCAGGGAAACAGGCAAGGGGCGTAGAGGAGACATCAACACTCTCTACAACAAGAGAAGCTGAGCAGTCAGTTGCAGGCCCCTCCGAGGAGCCTGGATCTGATCAGCAGCGTGCTCTTGAAGCCCAAACTAACGCTGATTCCAAGGCTGAGACAGTCCAAGTGTTATACACAGAGCCTTGGGAGGAGTCTAAAGAGGTCGACCTCCACGCCCACATGGAGCATTGGCTGCAGCTCAAGCAGCAACGCCGTATCCAAGGGAGCGTGGAACTGACTTTCTTTAAAGTGCTCATTAACCGCCGATACATCCGCGTGCTGATTGACAGTGGTTCAACCACTAATTTCTTTTCTCCGAACGGGATTCGTAAGGCGGGCCTGGGTATGAAGCGAGTGGAACTGCAGAACCCTTGCCGGACTCAGGTGGGCAACCAAGAGGTTGWCACTTCCACTYATGYTGTCAAARGTGTGSGCATCACCTTTGACAAAGACCGCACTGTCACACACGAGCTGAATTTCTATGTCTTGGACAAGTGTCCTTTCGACGCGGTCATTGGCTTGGGCTGGCTAAAGGCTCATTGCCTAAGGACCACCTGGGCGAACAATCAGTTCGTGGTACTTGATGCCAAGGGGAACGAGCGTACCGTCTTACTAGATGAGACGTGCGAGTCCCCTGTGACTCTTCTAAGTGCTAACAAATTCTGCAGGTCAGTTGCGCAGGCGCAAGGAAGCTGGGTTTGTACATTTAGCCCTTGTAAAGCCTTTCCATGTGCCTTCTACTTTTGCTGCACTTTCTACCTCTGAAGGTAACTCTACCTCTACTACTTATACTTCTGTTCCACCTACTTCTGCTGTAAATGATCGATCTAGTGCGGAACCAAATATTTCGAAACCGGTTGTAATTGCTGTAAATTCCCAATCTGATTTTCTCTCCCCTGATGAGGATGATCCTCCACCAGAAATCCCAGCGAACATTCGCCATCTGTTAGATCGATTTCCTGAGGTATTGGCTGAACCCCGCAGAGTTCCCGAGCGTTCAGTCAAGCACAAAATCGAGATAATAGAGGGAAGTGTTCCTCCAAAAGGTTGCGTCTACCGTATGGGACAAGGCGAGTTGGAGGAGCTGCGGAGACAAATTGATGACATGATTGATTGTGGATGGATTAGGCTTAGCGAGTCTGAGTTCGGCACACCTGTTTTGTTTGTGCCGAAGAAAGGAGGCAAACTCCGGATGTGCATTGATTATCGTAGTTTGAACCGAATCACAAGGAAGAATGCCTACCCTTTGCCTCGTATAGATGATCTGTTGGATGCTGCCGGTGGATGCAAAGTCTTCTCCAAGATCGACCTCAAGTCTGGCTACCACCAGATTGAAGTTGATCCGAGCGACCAGCACAAAACTGCGTTCAAGACACGTGATGGGCT